GGCATGTCCATTGCTTCGCTCAGAGCATGGGAGGAGTTAAGATGGGGTTGAGAGAATAGGAAAGGTCTTGGTTGGAGTCTTAGCTAGGCCATCAACTATCTATGTGATCTTCAGCATACCAGTAGGCCTAACTGGGCCCTAGCTATCTCATATGTAAATATACACTGAGCTCTGACTGTAGTCCATCTTCTGTTACAAGCTCTAGTGAATTTGTGGTGGCATGGTGGTTAAGGCAGCTGAACCCCACGTGGCCAGCTGCATGGTTTGAGCCCTGAACCAAGTGGTTCTAAAATGCACTGGAGGGACCAGCAGTTGGCATAATGGCTATGTCGCTGGACTCCCATGTAGTCAACCACAGTTCGAGTCCCGGACCTGTTGGCTTAAACGCATGCTGGGCGCATGTGCATGCGTGTCCAAGATCCCGAGAGGAGAATGGAGAAGAAGGGTTTGGGGTGTGACCATCCCCCCTGGGGGGTGATGTCACGCTTTCTGTTTCTGTCTCTCTGTGTCTTTCTGGAGAGGTTACACGCCCCATAGTAAAAACCTCTCAAAAAAAAACAAAAAACAAAACAAAAAAATTCACTGGACACAAGTGAGTGTATGCCCAAAATCCCAAAAGGAGAAATAAAGGAGAAGGAATTGCAGTATGTCCATACTCTCTGGAGGGGTATTTTCTCACTTTCCTTTCTTCTCTGTCTGTCTCCCTCTGGTGAATGCATGTACCCTATATTAAAATTTCAAAAAAGAGGGACCAGCAGGTGGCATGGTGGTTAAGGCACTGGAATTCCCACATGGTCTACCACAGTTCGAGTCCTGGACCTGGCAGCTTGCTTTCTCATTCTTCCTCTCTGTCTTTCTCTAGCAAAATTCATGTGAAAATAATAATAATAAATAAATGAAACCCTTCTTTAAAACATTTTTCAAAAAAGAAAAAAAAGGGGGCTGCCTTTCTGTGGGGTAGCCCTTCTATGCTGCCTTCTGGGTAATGGTTCTCCTCTTCCTCTTGGAGGAAAGAATGAACTGTTCACTCATCTCTTCTCCCGTGGCTACTCCACCTATAGAGTAGTCTGCTCTGTATACTTTCCTTAATAAACTCACTCTCCCTCAGCGGCACGCTCTCACATTCTGCCTAGTGTGTACAGGTCCACTGGGGAACTGAACCCACAGTCTTCCATTTGGATCCAGCGTTGCTTGAGTAGCAGGTTACCACTGCGCCACCTAGCCTGCCCTTAACCTTATACTGTAACCCCCAGGCACAACTCTCTCTCACCTCTGTGCTGTTTACCCAGAAAACACCCACCCTCCAGTAGGACCCAACTTGAAATCAGCTCCCTTTGTAAAACATTCGTTGACCGCCTCCTTTGGCCTTGAAATTTCCACAGCAACCTATCACTTCTGCCTCTGGGACAGCCCTGATCAAACCATCTCACTCCATCTCATCAGGAAGGGCTTTCCTACAAGGGCCAGCATTGTCTGTCTCTCCAGGTCAAGGCCCTCCTTCCCTCCTTTGCCCTCGTCCCCAGTATCGAGCACAGGGCTTGGCAGAGCAAGGGCCTGCAGGACTTTGTGGGGAGGTCACTAAGTGGACAGACACGGAGACCGCGAAAACAAGCTCCCCCAAAAGCAGCTAACCCCTGCACACTTTCTGCATTCGGAACCTTCAGGAAGTGCATGAGGGGCTGCTTTTCTGCAATTTTCTTCCCTGTGACAACTTAGAAACGCCAACAGTGGACTGCAACGCATCATGATAGCCTCTCTAAGCAGAGCCCAAAACCCAGCGGGAAGACTACCCAATGCCACTCCCCAAGCATCTTTATTTTTTTTTGGGGGGGGGAAGAGATTTTTGCTATAGGGCTCATCCACTCACCAGAAAAAGAGAGAGACAGAGAGACAGAAGGCGAGAAATCACCCCCCAGGGGGATGGCCATGCCGCAATCCCTTCTCCTCCAGGGATCTTGGGCGCACACGCATACGCTTCTGGCATGAGTTTAAGCCACCGGGTCCAGGACTCGAACTGTGGTGGACTACATGAGAGTCCAGCAACATAGCCATTACGCCAACTGCTGCTCCTTCCCCAAGCATCTTGAAATTTCTGAATTGCAGCCAGAGTAGGAGACTCAGTAAGTTCTGAGGAGAGCTGCTCCTGCTTCCAGACTCCAGTGATGCACAAGACCGTTCTCAGATTACCTGAGGAGCAGGCCAGACCCAGGTGAGAGAGAGAGGAGTTGCAGGTGAGGCACGTGTGTGTTCTCCCCTTCTCCAAGCACACCTCTCCAGGTGAGCCTCCACCCCGTGCAAACCAGACCAGATTTGGAGAAAGGGGCAGGGAGCTATTCTAGAATCTGGAGTGGGAAGGAGCGACATTTCACTGCAGTTCTTACACTAGAGTACACTTGGAGATGTAGACACCTAGGCCCACCCCTGAGAATATAGCCAAGTAGGTCAAGGGTGGCCTAGGAATCTGCATTGAAAACAGAAAACAAACCAGCCTCTCTAGTGATTCAAAGACAAGTAATCTTCAGACCACACTTTGAGAAACCCTGGCCAAGTAGATCTTTTCTGGCACCGGATGGAAACCTAGCCTCCTCCTTTCTCTTCCAACTCTAGCCTCTGGGAGCTAGATGCCTGTCGGGGTCCTGGGAAGAGACAATGACCCCAGAATCCCAGAATGGCAACATGCAAAGGCCCCCGAGAGGCCCGAGCAGTGAACCCAGAGTACAAAACCCTTTCAGAGCAAAGGGAAGCCTGAGTGTGGAAGAATGATATAAATATGGCAACTCTATTGCAACACATCCAGCTTAAGGCCTGCAGCCTGCGGGAGTGTTTCATCACGCTTGGATAACTCTAGGTTTCCTGGTAGGCTAGAAGACCTTCAGGAGTCAACCTCGCTTCTCTCTCCAGATCCTTCTTACAGTCCCCCACTTCTAGAACTTAACCTGCCCTTCCACCATGCTCAGCCTCTGTTAGATCACTGAGGACACCAGCTTCTCAAGCCCTGTTAGCCTTTCTGGTTTGTCCCTCTCCTCTAGGACTTAGCCTATTCTGGACACTGTCTGAACTAAGCTGGTCAGTTCCCTGTTACTCTTCAGGCGTCTGTTTAGAAGTCATCCCTTGAAGTTTCCTCTACCGCCCCCTACTCCCAGCTAGATGGATGTCTCTGCTCTCTGTCCCCTCTGCCCTCTGTATTAAATTGGTCACTGCTCCCCCCTCCCCCCCCCGAGGTCTGAGTACTCGTTGTACTGAGATGGATTGTTGAATTATGAGCTGTTTGCTTACTGTTGCTCCATCGGGCTAAGTCCTCTACAACTCATTGGCTGGCACTTAGTAGCTGCTCAATAAATGTCTGGCAATGAACACAAGGCAGTGTCTTGGCAGACAATGAAACAGTCTGCCTTGGGGAGCAGAATCTCCATCAGGACAGCTTTTCATTCACACAAAGGCTGATCCATCCCTGTCAGAGATCCTCGGGGTGGAGCCGAAGAATACTGGAAGGACACATGTGCCCCAGGGTAATGACTGGCAGGGGCCTAAAGGAGACCTTTGAAAAGCAGCCAAGGCCCAGGGAGCTGCTCACTTGATGTCAATTTAGTTCTAAGCAGCTTGCGTTCAGGAAGGTAAAGGGTATTCAGTGCAAAGCAATAGGCAGGGGTATGGGGTAGGGGAGTGAAGGCATCACTTTGGTTCTCTCATCTTCCCATAGCCCACCCTGTGCCCCTGGGATTGTTTGGGCTCACAGGCAAGAAGAGGCTCTACCACCTCAAGGTGAGGAACGCTGTCTGAGTACCAACCCCCTGAATGACTTGAGAGTACAGCCCCAGCTGCAAGGTCTAGCCAACTCAAGCTCATTGCACGCAAGGCCTACCCTGTGCCAGGCTTCAGGTGAACAAGGCAGACAAGGCCTGGTTCTTCAGCCCACTGGTGACTTGGCCTCATGGGCCATCAAGACAGGGGACAAACTAGATTTTCAGCCTAGGCCTGTAAGTGGTAACAGATATACCAGCATTTAGAAAACAAGCACAGGGAGGCCAGAGGGTGGCCTAGTGGTTAAGGTGCTAGACTCCCACATGGCCAACCATAGTTGAGTCCTGGAACTGGAGACTTGAAATTCACGTCAGGTGTGGGTGTGTGCTGTGTGCCCCAAATCCCAAGGAAAATGGAGGAGAAGGGATTGCAGAATGGCCATCCCCCGGGGGGTGATTTCTCATTTTCTGTCTCTCTCTGCTTCTCTAGCAAGCCCACACACCCTATACGAAAACCTCTTTGAAAACAAGAAGCCAGGAGAAACGTGTCTGTAGCTTAGAGCAGGAATTCATGCTGTGCCCTGAGCCCCAGACGGGTGGCATTCAAAGCTGGGGAGGCTGCTTGGCTTTCTGCAATCTACTTCTGGAGCATAGACCTTTCCAGAAGGGCTTCACTGTACCCAAGGATGGGAGAATTCAGAGTGTGCATGGACTCATACTAGCTCTCCCTCACTTCCATCCTTACCCAGAGAGGTAAACCTCAGGGACCTGGGCCTCCTGGGTCAAAGAGTCTGAGTGTGAGTCCAGGACAGGAGCTCAGAAGTGTGGCGTTCAGCCTGCTGTTGCTTGGTCATGTGACCTTGGGCAAGCTCCTTCTTCTCTCTGAACCTCAGATTCCTCCCCTGTAAATGAGGGAGAGCAATGAGGCCAGTGTCTCCTCACCTTAGCTATGAATCAGTCATTTGGGTGGTGGCAAGACAAAGGAACTTGAGGAATCCAAATTTCCGGGCCCTGTCCCAAAGCCCCTACAGGAATCTGAATCCCAAGGAGGAGAGGATAGAGAGGCCTGCTCGCACCATGGACCCCAACACGGCCCCATTCAGGGAGCTCTAGGGCCCCTTTAAGCCGTCCTGGGAGAAGCTCCTTGGTATGCAGTGTTCCCAGCCCATTGATCTCTTTCCAACCCCTTAGCCTCCTTGGGCCCTCAGGGATGGAATCAGCTGCCCCGTTCATGTCTCCAAAGAGCTCTGGAGCCTGGTGCACCGGTCAGTGAGCAGTTTATTACCCATCAGCCTGTCCCCAGCCTCCGAGCACCTTAGCCTTGCACAAAATCTAGACACCATCTTCATTCAGTCCTGGCACCCAGCCTCTGTCTTCACCCCCATCCTGATCCTCCATGGTCTCCCTCTCCCAGCCCTCCATGGCAGCACCAGGCCTGGGGCCACACCTCAGCTCAAGGAGAGGTGGAAAGACAGGGAGACAGGCGGAAGCTGGGGAAGTAGGGACCAGAGTGGGCCCCAAGCTTCTGGAACCACCACCGGGGAAGGAGGAGAAGTGGCAGGGCTGAGGTTGGGGCAGGGCTGCCAGGCGGTAGTTCAGGCAGGAGGCTCTTCTCCAGGAGGTGCAGGGAAGCCACTCAGGTCTCGGCCAATGATCTCACTCACTGCAAAGGAGGGGCAGGTGAGAGACTGAGACAGGGGTGAGTCCCCTCATTTCCAGAGACCCCCCAATCCATTCCAGGCTGGTCTCAGTCTAGGATCCTCTAGGCTCCTCCTCTGGATTCTTTTTCACCAGGCCTCAGTCTCCCCCACATGTCATGACACCTGTTCCTAATCAGCTCCTGCCCAGCTCCATCCATGTGGGCTCCCAGGCCCTATCCCAGTCCTTTCTTGCTGACTGGACCTGCAAGTTCAAGGTCATCCGGGACAGCAGGGTCCAGGGTGGGCGTAGCCAGTGGGAGAAAGGAGAGGCAAAACAGGAAGGCTCCTCATCACCAGTCCTGACCAGGGTCACCATATTTAGGGGAGGGTCTGAGACAAGGGGAAGCATGCTTGACTGAGACTTCAGCAAGCGACGGCCCCTCTCTGAACTCAGGGCCTGAATCTGAAAATGGTGAGCTAGGCAGATTGACCTTGAAAGTATCTCTAGCTCTGAGATTTTATGATCTGGGTCAGAGGGCAGAGCCAAGGCAAAGGCTAGGGCAGGAGCTCCATGTGCCCTTCAGAGCAGGTTAGCTGGACTCAGGCGGTCACACGCACTGAGAACTTGCCTCCTGGGACCCTCCGACTGGCCCTGAGAGACCGAGGATGCCCGAGCTCTGGGAAGCCAAGCTCCAGCCCTCAGCAAACATGCAGAGCCATGTCTCACACACACGCACACTCACAGCCCCAGGCCCACACCCACCTTCCTCCAACGTGATACCCTGGATAGGGACACTGTCTCGGAAGCCGCTGCTGTAGCCACCCCTGGATTTCTCCTGCTCCGGAGCCCCCTCCCCAGGGCCATAGCCTGGCCCTACCTCATTGTATCCCTCAGCAGGCAGGGGATGAACTCCGCTCTGGGGAGGGAAGGGGCCTTCAAGTGGTGGGGATGAAGGTAGTGGAGGCCGAAAGGGGGCAGGAGGAGGGAATGGCAGCCCCAGGGAAAAAGAGGAGCCCCGTCCTCCGTAGGGGTCGTTAGGGAAGGGGCGGGAAAGGAAGGACACTGGAGGTGGGCGGGCACAACCTGTGGTACCCCCAGTCTCAGGGAACATCCGCAGGCCTGGTCTGTAGGATGGTGGGGGCCCCGTCTGGGGATACAGAGGGGGTGTGCCATAGCCGAATCCTTCTGACAAGTAAGGAGTTTCATAAGCAGGGTCTTCATGGGGATAGGAGGGGTAGGGGGGCCTGGGTGGTGAGAAGTCCATGTCAGTGCCAAAGGGGGGGCCTGATGCTGAAGGGAAGCCCCGGAGAGAAGAGTCCGGCAGGGGCTCCTCCTTGAAGATCACTGGGGAGAGGGGAAAACAGGAGGACATGCACGTGAGAGGGCTGGCAGCCTTCCCTCTGTGCCCCTTCCAACCACCTTCCCTCCCAGGCACCTCCGTCCCTTGGCTCCTGGCACTGTACCCTCTGTCCCTGCTTCCACTGCCCTCCTGCTATGTCCCCACCATGGGCTGCCCTAGAGCTCACCAGGGAGGAACTTGAAACTCTGGGTAGGACTGCGCTTCCTCCGCCCGTTGGAGACGTAAAAGTAGACCTGGACTGGCCGCGACACCCGCTTGTTGTTATACTCAGGGACAGTCAGAGTCAGCGTCACCTGGGGGGGAAGCCAGGGGAAGCCAGGGAGGCCTCAGGGATCAGCCCAGCCCTTCCAAGAACCCAAACCTCACTTCCCACCTTTTTCCATTTGCTAAAGACCAACGTTCCTTCCCTAGAAATGAACCTCCTTACAGAGTGGCCAGACTCCCTCCTCCAGAAAAGAAGAGGTAGCTCTAGGAGTCCACACCCAGGCACAAGGGAACCAGTTGGGAATTTCCTGACTTGTCCCACCCCACACCCCACGGGAAGGTACCCCAGTGACACTGGCACCTCATTGCTCTGCAGTCGGTTCACTGTGGCCTCCTCCTCCCATTGCAGCTTTCCATCTGTGTGCAGGGAACAGAGCTCCAGTTCAAGGCCAGATCCCTGCTCTCTGCCCCGTGCCCCGCCATTCCCCCTCCTGCTTTGGTCAAGCCCAAATTCAGAAGACCCCTAGAAGATCTGGCACACCAAAGGGCCTACTGTGTGTTTTCTTGACTGAACGGAAAAGGCAGAATTTTAAACTGTCCCCAAGTTACACACAAGCAAACTGAGACCACGAGAAATGGCAGGGCCAACCCAACAACCAGGCGGCAACTCCTGAGCCTTCCCACCCAACTCCAAATACCCTCCCATGATAACACCGGGAGGAAAGACCAAGGGCAGGAGAGGGTTCTAGCTTGCAGGATGGCAATGAGAGCCCCAAGTCTCATGGCCCAAAACCTCTGGAGATTCTCTGAAATGGTCCCAGGGTGCTAAATTTGGTGCTCTTGGTGAACGGAGCTGGTGGCTGCACCTGAAACCCTCAGTCTCCCCTTTCTCCACCCTGCAGCTCCACCTCCGGGCACTCACAGGCTCTCATAAGCACTGCTAAGCTGTCAGGAGGCCAGGGTGAGCTGGGAGGGTGTAAGTCATCTCTTCCCTTCTTAGATGCCCTACCTATGTGGGGGTGAATAATCTCAAAGCTGACTTCTCTTTTTTTTTTTGGAGAGGTTTTCGCTATAGGGCACATGCGCTTGCCAGACAGACAGAGAGAGACATAGAGAGAGAAAGTGAGAAATCACCCCCCAGGGGGGATGGTCACGCCGCAATCCCTTCTCCTCCATTCTCCTCTCGGGATCTTGGGCACACACGCACACGCGCCCGGCGTGAGTTTTAAGCCACCGGGTCCAGGACGCGAACCGCGGTCAACTACGTGGGAGTCCAGCGACATAGCCATTACGCTAACTGCTGGTTCCCCTGACTTCTCTTTAATAAATGTGTATTTCCTACATATTTTCAGCAACCTCAGCATTTGCTGCCATCCCCACCTCCCTATAAGAAGCAGACAATAGAAAGGTCTGTCTATCTGTGCCATTTTACAGATAAGAAAGCTCTGGCTCAGTTGGCTAGTTTAGTGAAATTGGCGGAGATCATTCACCTGTCAGTTCCAAGTTCCTCCTGCCTGCTCGTCCCCGCCCCTCCGCCTCAGCAGATACTCACCAGGGCCCCTCTCGATGAACACCACCTTGGAGTCCGGTAGGAAGTTAGAGCCAGTCAGCACTAGTTCCTCGCCTCCCCTCACAGAGCAGGCGCTGGGGCTGTAGGCCTCCACTTGGGGAAGCTCCTGGGCTGAGCGCTGGGCTGCAGATGGGGCAAGCAAGAGGCCTGGCTGGGCTGGGTATGGACAGGTCAGCCTCCTCTGCCCCGACCCTGTTGAGAATGACCGCCACAGGGCCCTGGGGGAGCCCTCCTCAGTGGCAGGCACACAAATAAGCCAACAGTATCCACAGGGCCACACTGCCCACGTAAGGGGCCACTTCCAGACAGAGAGCGACAGAGGGACAGGGCAGGTAGGGACTTATCCAACAAGTGGTCACCCAAGGGACAGATAGAGCTCAGGGTCACACTGGGACAGCCCAGAGAGGATAGTGGCAAGTACAAAATAGAATACTACCCCTATTGCTCCCCCATCTGTGATTGAAATAGGGGCTGAGGTCTCCAAGGCTCCCCAGGACAGACTGTACAGAGGACATGGACAGACACACAGACAAGGGAGTCACAAGAGACGGAGATGGCCCAGGGCCTCTTTGCTCACAGCACTCGATGGGCACGGATGCTGCCTGCACGGAGACGACCTTCCCGCTGCCCTGGGGCACGTGCACCCGGAACACCAGCCGCACTCGTGTGTTTTTGCGCCCGATGTCCGTCTCACCCTTACGCAACTCAATGTCTGAGTTCCGGAGCTTCAGGATTCCAGCACAGTCGATGCTGAAAGCAAAGGATGGATAGTCAGCTGAAGCCAGAATGATGCTACATCCTCAAAAAGGGATCTACCACCCTCCATCCAAAGCCCCGAATGACTGTCTGTGGGTGTCTAGGGAGGCTGTTTTCCAACCCAGAGAGAACCTTCCCGGGGTGTTCCTGAAAGCCCTTTCCTAGGTGGTAAGAAGGTTTGAAACTGATTCCTAGGGATAATGTCTAGCTCTTCTGAGGAGCAGGCTAATCCTAAAGCCTACAACCAAGGAGAAGTTGAGTGTGGTACTTACTTGGCCGCCATGTTGTTCTCAGGGAGCAGGGTCATCTCCAGCACCTTGGTACCACTGACTACCGCTTCATAGCTGGCCGTGGCCACCATCTTGCCTGTGATACGGTGCACCTGATAGAAGGCATGAGGCCGCAGGTTCCTTTCATCTGCAGTGCCAATGAACATCTGTAGGGTCAGTGGCTTCTCACTGTAGCCTAGAAGCTGGCAGGGGGAGACAGAGGACACCTAATTGAAATCCTCATTGTCCATCCTTTATCCATTCCTGGATTTTCAGTCCACTAGGGGGTGGGGATGGTGGAAGATAAAGGATATCCTGGGAGGGATTCCCTGGGGGGACTGGGCACCAGTTGTAGAGAAAATGAAAAAATGTGGCCTGGAGTTCACAGTGTTATTTTTGGAATAAGGCCCAAACTGGGCTGGGCAAAAGAGAAGAGCTTCTAAGAGAGATTGGATCAACTCAATATAGAGAAAACCTAATTCCCAGTGACCTTTGGCCTCACCCTAAGTCCTCCCCCACATCTGGCAGGCCACCATTTTCCAGAGTAGACATGAGGCTAGTGTCCCATGGGATAAGTTGAGGGGGGTGGAAGGACAGAGGAGTAGAAAGTATATCCGGGTTCTTGAAGTTCACCCCTCCTCGCCCAACTTTGGCCCCTCCCCCCAGGCTGCCTGCAGGGTCAGAGCTAAGAGGGAGTGTGGGAAAGGGCAGTGCCATGGGTCTGTACAGCTGGAGCCATCCACAGGGACCTGGGATGAGAGAGGAGAAAGAGTATCAGCCCTGTCTTCTGTCCCTTACCTTGACTACAGGATGACCACCAGGGGCAGCTTTGACAGCTCCGCGGCTGCCCTCTGTCTCATAATGGGCCCGGTGGTGGGCTCTTGGCTGCACCTCGATCCTCAGCTCCAGCTGCTCATACTGGCTGGGCAGAGGCCAGTCCAGGGGGGGTAGGGCGGAGGTCCTGGGTAAGAGAGAAGAGCTCAGGTCATGGCAGCCTCAGATCCCAGTCAGAACCACACTGGACCTGGGAGGGAGGAGGATGTGGGCATGGGAGAAAGACTGAAGACATGAAGAGGCCCGGAAGCCCAGAAGCTGAGGGAGCGAGGGGACAGAGCCCCTGCTATGAGGATGTGGAAGGCACTAACAGGCCTAAGACTTTTCTTCCCAACTCTGAGCAGAGTTTGAGGTGGGGAGGCTTTCCCAGGATACAGAGGAACTCTACCCCATCCTAATCCCTGCATTGAGAAGGGAAGAAGAAAGCAAAGGAGGGCAACTTCCAGTCAGAAAGTTCCTCAGACAGGCATGCCTGTCTTACCAATAAAGGAGCTGCA